ATAATATGTAGAAAGACACCACGAAATATTTTAAAAATATATTTAAAAAATTTTTTTAAATATTATTTTAAGAAGATTAATATTTTAACATACTATTTTTCATTCGTACGAATATTTTCAATTTACGGAATGCACAAATTTTTATTTGGTAACAGATAACATCACTCATGAATAAATAAAATTTGTTAAATTGAATAGATATGTTTTTTTTATCATTTTATGATTAGCGCAATAATTAATGATTAATTAATTAATAAATATTTATAAACGTGTGTGTATTCATGCAATTCAGTGGCAAAAACAGTTTAATATTACACACACACGCATACACGCACGCACAGTCAATTGTCAGACTCAATCGATGCGTGACGTTCCGTCTCTTTTTCGTTGAATAAAATAATTAATTCGTTCTGCTTATTCACGGTGTTATCATATTTTATCAGACAATTTATATATATATATATACAGGATGTCTTATAAGATGGGTCCGAGCCACATTGGAGGTGGAGAATGGATCAAAGGGAACAAAAAATTCTTATACTATTTTGAGATACTCGCTATAGTTTTCGAATTAGAAAAGGAAATGTCTAAGCCAATATGCGATTAAACCGCGCCGCGCGAATTCGTAGGACGGCCCACTCGAGCGGCGGCGGCGGCGGCGCGCAGGGAGAGAGAAGTAGCGCTTCGTTGCCTAGCACAGCCTGGCATGGCAGTTCTATGTGTTTCGCTGCATTGCGCCTACATTATCCAAAAATATTATTTTAGCTGAAGTTTTTCTTATACATTTCTTATCATTATAAATCGCGTTATTTAGCACGATTAAATACGTTTTAACATAATTATAGATATGTAATTAATTAGAGCATTACGCAAAGCGTATGCTGATCGTCGCGATACCTTTCCGCTTGCTTTATTATACGATGTTTCTATTTAATTACGCTTCGAGACACACTTCGTCACGTCGTTTTATGCTATATTTAGTCGGAGTTTTATTTTTTGAAATGTTAATGTATGTACACTGAAATTATAGTATAAACTCGCGTAGATAGTCGCTACATTGTAAATCCAGATATTATTCCATGTACAATGACGCATTTGACTTAGGTTTTTTTCACATGTTTCTTACCATTTAACAAGTTTAATTGTATATCATTAGAAACGTTCTTAAATTTTATTAATCTTTAATGTTCACTGATGAATAACATTTAAATTTTCACTAAAAAGATTATTTATGTATACGTTAATGAGATGTTTAAGTTTGTAGTAATT